CGGAAAGATCGGTGAAAAAGCAGCAACCAATGAGGTCATCACTGCAGTGGTGAATGCAACTGAAGGTGCAAGTTATGATTGGCATGACTTAGTTGGTGAGGTTCTTGAGCAAGCGGTATCTTCTAATACAGTTATAAAAAATTTGGATTCCGGAATCATTTCGAAATTGTACTCCTGTTTGCAGCGGTTTAAGGAAATCAGTTTGGCAACAATGGCTTCGGAACATTTGATGAATATTTATTTTGATTCAGGAAATGACGCTTGGCTTCCGACAGTTGCGTATGCAGCACTTATACAAGCGGTTGCTGTCACGAGTGTTGGTAAGAAAATCAGGATTTACAATGCTAATGGCGTTTTGGAGTTACACATACCTCATTCTCAATTCATGGATAGCTTGAAAGAAGCTTTCAGAAGTCAAAAGAGAGAAATGAGAAGCACATTTTTGACGCTGTCCGAAAGTGTTTCCAATAACGTACAGTAACTTTCAGCCGGTAGGCTTGTGTGATATTCTTCTCCAATTATGTTTGCTAAATGACTAGCTTACGTTTTTGTTATTCAAGAATTTTGATAGTTTCATGTAGTTTGGTATGGAGTGTGTATTATGAAATAGACAATCATGATTGACTTTTATCTTTTTCATGGGCCTGATTAGTAGCTTTAACCCTGCATTATGTTGAATCTTACACTCAAAGGAATGTTTTCTGGCTATGGATGCGTTAGTGAGAGGACCGCGGTGGTTTCTGGCCTGATTGCGTACCTTCCTGTGTAGTCTCAACGAAGTTCAGTGAGAAGGGTGTGGGTGTGTGGGTGTAGGTGTTGGTGTGGGTGTCAGTGTGAGTGTGTGGGTGTAGGTGTGGGTGTGGGTGTGAATGTGGGTGTGGGTATGGGTGTGGGTGTGGTTGCTTTCTCACCACACCCACACCCACACCCACCCACATCCGCAAGAGTATCTCGTTGGAAATCCTTTCTAGTGGGATAAAAATGAACAAACATGTCGTATAAAAACTTTCCAATCACATTTGACTAGTTAAGATATATAAAATAGATATCTTATATAGTTTTTCAATCATGTATATCTAATAATTTTGACAAATAGCTTTTTTCCTATTCAAAATCTTAATATTTTTATTGGAATCTGTAGTTTTTGGTTGTAATGAAGTTTTTAAATTCTTGAATGTTGTTGCTGAGGACAAAAGTGACCAATCCTATAACATTCCATAATTGGTATATGGCTGGCCAGAATATTACTACTTGATACGTCACGAGTTGTTCTAGAAAATGGTATAGATGACCTTTATCCATTGAACGTTTGTTATCTGTTCTGACAAAGTTCTTTAAAATGAAATATTCTCGTCCGTTACAACCAACGAATAGAATCCAATCATTAGAAGCAGAATTATTATTTGATAATTTATTATCAGCCAATATCGGAATTGATTCAATAAATGGAACATTCGCTAGAATTCGCTGTGATTCATTAGATTCTATTGATAAAGGATATCCATATAGGCAATCGGTTATATTTATAACAGACGAAAGTAGTATGTAATCAAGATTTGGTTTTTTTGTTTTATGATATAATTTTTTTCTGGTTTCTTCAAAATCAATAGAAGTTTTCTTTCCTGGTGTTGATTATTGATCTGTACGAATGATATGACAACTGCCAACGTAATTAAATGAAATTCTAAATGATGTAACAAACTCGACTCTAACCGAAAATTAGTTTATATTTGTAAGAAAATTGTCAATGATGCTAGGCGTCAAGAGCCAAAAGCTAATCACTTATAGCATTATATGAAGGGATAATAGTCTAAGTTAAATGATTGTTTATATAAATTTTTGTAAATGACTAATTTAGCTATATTTAATTTCATCGTTGATTTATTCAAATATATAAAAAAAATGATTCTCATTTGGAATATAAAATTTTATTCATTAACATGAATCTGAAAAAAACAACATTAAGGTTTTTTTTTCATTCTTTATGCAAAAACTTGAGTAATCATTTATTAATAATAGAAAAACAAGGTAGAAAGTAAAAACTCTTATTTACTAGGGAAAAAAAAGAAAATTTTAAGATCGATCTGTTGCTTCATATCCATCAATAATAATTACATATGAACAAGAACAAACAACATGATGGAAACCCTATGATCGAATTAATATATCTGATGGATGAATAACAATATTACTTATTCAAAAGTAAAAACAATTCGTTAATTTTAAATAGTTTTTCTAAGGAAAATTATTCCTCTTTCAGTTTAGTGGCAAAGAAGTTTTCAATTGCAGCACTTGCATCTACTAATCCCATGTATCGACGACACATTTTGAGAGAACATTTCTTAATTTTTGAAGTCAAAAGTATTTTCACGGGAATCGAACGATAAGAGCTCGCTCCTTAGGTATTTTTCGAGTACAATAAAAATAACTATATCAACGAAAACAAAAGCTGGTTTTTGACAGAAAATAAGTCATGTCTACTGATAATGTTTGTTCAGATTGAATCATATATGTATATTTTATTTACTACCATCAATATTCAACTGAAAAATTGATTATATATCAGCAAATCGATCGTGTGAAATCGAAATTTATCTTAAAGTAAACGTATTGAAGTGATTTTTATTTTCAATTTTTTTTTCTTAATAAAGGATTTTGTTTCAATTGATAATAATACTCGTTTAAAAATTCTAACTGGATATTAGTGATTTAATTTCAACAGAAATATTCATTCGATGAGATAGAAATCAAATTTTATGGAAACTTTTTAATCTTCTGTACAGCTATTTGACTTTGTCTTAACGAATTTTCATATAATGCCAGTACAGTCGTATTCAACAGACTTGTTGATCTTGTGTTTCCAAGGTAACGAGTATGTCCGTTTGAATAATGCACTCTAATCAATTTTCAAAAGTCGCACGAAAAAATAATTCTATGATTTATGATTCATATTAATTGCTTTTGTTTTTTCGATGATGATGATGATGAATAGAAATTTCTTCTGATCCAAAAAAAAGAAAGAAAAGAATATGTATTGTCCATGAAGGACTGTATATGAACAAAGGACAAGTATTCACATCCATGCATATGAAAAACGATGAAACTAATTCGTGTCTCATCATTTCAATTAATCATGTGATGATTAATCAAATCAATTATATTCGAATGTGCACATCATCGTCAATTATCTTTCGTCAAATTGATATCAACATCATTAGAATGTCTTTGATTGGCAATGTATGTTTAAAAACATATATATATATGAAACACATTTTCACCAGTATTCTCATACGATTCGATCAAACAAATCATGAGCATGCTCAATAAAGATAAAACATGACACTCATATGATTTATTTTTCACGGATTACAATTTTTTATATTACTTACAATAATTAGTATTATTTTACATTATGATTTTTCATGAATGACATACAGTTATCAATTTATAATTATTTACAATGCTAGGTATGAGTTTATAATGCATTAAAATGTATACATTTATAATGAAATTTGTTACATAATGTTATGTTAAACCTTTGAATTCTATAGTAGGAAAAAGAAATCTATACATGTTTAATAATTATTATGTAATTTACTGGAATGTAGCAATAAAGAATGTTCAACGGTGTGGATGCGGTGGGTGTCGAGTTTGTAGATATGGGTGTGTGGGTGTTGGGCGCGTGGATCCGTATGCGAGCATGTTGGTTTTTATCTGGACGTGTCAGTGTCCAGCAGAAATAATTTGGGACGCAAAGAATTAAAATACATTAATTTCCGATGACATTTATTCATCGATATTATATAATGATGCATTTTTTTAGAACGAAATCTAGGGATGGGTGTTATTAAAATTCATTTCTGTACAATTCAATAAATGCTTTATATTACAATGGAATTTATCAATTTCATGATGTATTAAAATGTTTTGATTTACAATGAAACTTATTGTATGATATTATGTTAAACTTCATTAATTTACAATGACATTCATTGAATCATATTATATTAAAATGTATTATTTTAGAATGAAATTTATTGAATGATGTTATTTAAATTCATTGCTTTACAATGATATTTATTGAATCATATTATATTAAAATGTATTATTTTAGAATGAAATTTATTGAATGATGTCATTTAAATTCATTGCTTTACAATGCATTAATTTATAATGAAATTCATTCATTCGTTCAATGATGTTATATTATGATTCATTTTTTTATACAATGTTTTTGATTTCAATGATAATATATGTTAGGATATATTGATTTATGATAGAAATTTATTCTATGATGTTTTTAAAATTCATCTGTTTTTTTTTTGAATTATATGAAATTATAAAAACATAAGGATGTTAAAAAAGAATATGACTTATTATTGATTCATACCAATAACAAGAATGGATATATTGCTTCAAAAATTATCTTATTTATCTTGAGAAAGACTTGAACAAATAAATTAATAGTTGAAAGATAAAAAATTTTTTTTTTTTGTTTTCTTGAAAGAACAATTCTAAATTAAATTTTCATAACAATACTTACATTGAGATAATGTTAGAATGAGATATAGATAATTTATTTCGGATGAAATAATTTTTTTCTTCGTTGTTGTACACATTTAGTGTATATTATTATTATGTTAAGTCTATGTTATTTATGTTAGAAGATAGATACCAATTTATATCACAGCCTTATCATGTGGCTTCGTAACCTAACCCAGAGAGAGATTCTATTCGTCATGGAATGGCGAAAGCAGTGTAGTACTCGGGAAGGCCTTTAATGTACGTAGATCCCTGCTGTCATTATGTACGGTACACCTATGTACATTGCCCTACCAGTCCGGCGTGGTCCGCCTGTGTGTACTAGTTTCATACGCGTAGGGCCTCTCCCTGGTCGCGCGCGCGCGCGCGTACGCGTGAAAATGAGCCTAGAAAAGTAGGAAAGTGAAAAAGAATTAACACCAATTTATTGAGCAAGTAAACGAAAAAAAAATAATGAATTACATTTTCTTTCGAATTTTTTCAAATGTTTCTTTATATTCCAAAAGATGAGGATGAGTTGAAGATAATTTTTCTTGAGCTATTTCAACTGTTTGTTGAATATTTTTCATTGCCATACTATATTTTCGTGTAGCCAAATATAATTTTGCCATATTATGATATACAACAGCTAAATCAGGATGATTTTTTGGTAATTTCTTCTCACGTATTTCTAATCCTTTTTCGAAATATGTCAATACTGTTGAATAATCTTTCATTTCACGATAAGTTTCACCTAAATTTATATATGTCAATGCACATTCCAGAGGATTACATTGAACATTTTCTTGAATATTTAATGCTTTTTGATGAAATGCAAGTGCCCTTTCATAATTACCCATCAATCGATGAACATCACCTATATTACTATAAGTAATAGCCTGATAGGGATGTTTTTCAGGTAACGTTTTTAGATCTATTGCGAGACACTTTTCGAAATTATCAAGTGCTTTTGAATAATCTTTCATACTGCGATAAACTCTTCCGAGCCAACTATATGTTGAAGTAAAAGCTGCATTACCTTCTTGAAATGCTTGTTGTTGAATTTGAAAAGCACTTCGAAGAGCCTTAAGAGCTGCGGCGTAATCACCCATTCTTTCGTAACATGCTGCAAAACTCAAGTAACTAATAGCCAAATCGGGATGATTCGGAGGCAGAGCTTTTTCTTTTATTTTCTGTGATTTTTCGAAAAATTCAAGTGCTTTCGAGTAGTCACCCATGTTGTTATACACTGTACCGATGTTGTTGTAGGAAGTAGCCAAATCGGGATGATTCGGAGGCAGAGCTTTTTCGAGAATTTTATGTGATTTTTCGTAAAATCCAAGTGCTTTCGAGTAGTCACCCATGTCGTTATACACTACACCGATGTTGTTGTAGGAAATAGCCAAATCGGGATGATTCGGAGCTAGAGCTTTTTCTTTTATTTTATGTGATTTTTCGTAAAATTCAAGTGCTTTCGAGTAGTCACCCATGTTGTTATACACTCCACCAATGTTGTTGTAGGAAGTAGCCAATGAGAGATGATTCGGAGGCAGAGCTTTTTCTCTTGTTTTATGTGATTTTTCGTAAAATTCAAGTGCTTTCGAGTAATCACCCATGTTGTTATACACTCCACCAATGTTGTTGTAGGAAGTAGCCAAATGGAGATGATTCGAAGGCAGAGCTTTTTCTCTTATTTTATGTGCTTTTTCGTAAAATTCAAGTGCTTTCGAGTAGTCACCCATGTTGTTATACACTTGACCGATGTTGTTGTAGGAAGTAGCCAAATCGGGATGATTCGGAGGTAGAGCTTTTTCGAGAATTTTATGTGATTTTTCGTAAGATTCAAGTGCTTTCGAGTAGCCACCCATGTTGTTATACACTTGACCGATATTGTTGTAGGAAGTAGCCAAATTGGGATGATTCGGAGGCAGAGCTTTTTCGTGAATTTGATGTGATTTTTCGAAAAATTCAAGTGCTTTCGAGTAGTCACCCATGTTGTTATACACTTGA